AATGGAATGTACATAGCCCGCGAAATTTGAACATTCACCTTACGTATCGTATGTATCATATTCTTAAGTTTTTACCCGTGAGTTCACCAATAATTGACAACACTGAATAATCAAACTTGAATTCATTTCACTTTAAAAACAACACTTCAACCAAAAATTTCAACTATTATTTTAATGTCTATCGCCTTACTAGATTACTTCGCGTACCGCACTGTTACGTTCACTTCACTGTGTACTTGACTGTCCGAATACGCTTGTAGCCAGCGTTTAAATATCGCAATGGAACATCGTAAAATTTCGCCGAAGTTCTGTCGACATCGGTAGCATGTTTCTTGCTCCTTCTCGAGCGGCAGGTAACATTAGATATTCCCACGCTCTACAGCTGTGTCACGTTTGGTTTATGGTTACCAGTGGCGGCCGGCGTTATTTCTTTTCGGGCATGATTTACAACAATATGTATGCATATGAGTGATCATCATATTATAATGCATTCAAATTAACAAACTCCCACTGAAAATCGAGCAAATTCTTGACAAACTCAAATTCGACGCCGTTGTGAAAAAACTTCCTGGGATTATTTCTTATTTATTATATTATAATGTGCCACATGTACTACCTATTCCTGAAATGGTTAATAAATATTATATTCTATTCTATGTTCATTAAAATGTTGGTATTTTTTTTTGTTTTATGTGATACATAGATGATTTTATTATAGGTGTGTATTTGTGGAGTGAATAAATCTTGACTAGTCTGAGTCGTGTACTTTTGTATAAAACTTCAACGGAGGAAAATATAGTGTCTGTCTATCTAGATATCTATCCATTCTAAGATAAATGGTCGCAAAAGTACATAGGATAAAACACGACGTGAAAGATTGCAAAAAAAACTATCCATATCTGATATAAATCAAAATTAAGAAAATGAATGAGAAAAGCACAAATATGTATGGCCTCGTTAACAGAAGCCAAACCAACGTGTGTTGTCCTGGTCAGATGTCCTTATTGAAAGATAGAACTGAAACCTCTGGTGTAGAATAAATTCAAAACGAACACTATTCCCTCACAACAGAACTGCAACACTCTTCTCGGCACGCGTTTCACTAACCAATCTGGTATCATCAGGAGATCAGCTATAGCTCATCTGCTGTTGCAGTTCTGGTGTGTGGAAATGGTACTTGTTTTAGAGATGTCTTCATGACAATATATACTTTATTTTGAAAAAAAGGATGGTTGAGAATTTCACATGTCAGATCTGATTATTGAAGATTTTAGGGTATTAGTACATATTTAAAGAAATATAATTATAAAACCAAGGCTAAAATGAAACGTGAAAGTTGGTGTATGTAAGATACAATAAATACCTATATTTTGCTTTCATTATCACTAATGATATGTACACATAGTTGCTATCATTTGTCGACCAAATAAATAAGTTCAAAGGTCGAAAAAACAGAAATATTTCATATTATAAGGAATGTGACAATTTAAAAATAACATTTTTCGTACAATACATTTTAATGAAAAATAATCATATGTCAAATTTTTTGAGTATGATAATATTTTGATACAACATTATTGACAAATTTGAACTTCAATGACAATGGGAAAGAAAGGTTTTGGCTTTCTACTTCTTCATTTATATACAGGAAATGTGGGAATCTTCCATAGAAAGGAGGGAAGCAATCAATTTGAAAAAATTAACTGTGTACAAAGATGTGTAAATCATGCAAAGAAGTAACTTTCAGACACAAACCGAAAGAAAAAGCCCTCTCGAAACAGATATATAAACATTGAATTACCCNAATTTTTTTTACTTGAAAAGAAAGTGCGGCAATTGTTAAATAACGAATCTGAGATTTTTACATTTTTTTAAGTTATTTTTAAAAGATCAGATATCATTCACAGGATTGCTACTTAATATAGTAAATATGAAAGAGGTAAAATTTCACTTTCATTTAACACTGTCATCCTCACTGCTAGACATCCGATGTTTCGCCGTAAGACACTTTCCTTAAAGGCTCTTCAGTAGCAAATACGGATAACATTATAAGAAAAAACTCTCAATTTGTTCATAATTACGACTTTTTTGTCACGGAATGGGTTGCATCCGCCCATGTAATTGATGACAGTACTTATTTCTTGCTGTGTTAACTTATTTATCGGCCTCATGACATAATTTCTATAAGAAGCCTTGATTGAAAATTTGTAAATCCCCCGCCTGAAAATAATCGACATTCTGTAACTTTCTTGTATCATTTATGTAATAAATTTTTTCAATAAACTTCCTCTGAAAAACTGGATTCGCAATCTAATGATTTTTGAAAACATGAATGACCACAGAGATAACAAAGAAACTTCCAAGTCCTATAGTATTTTTCCGCAAAGCCATATATATTTTGCAAATAGTAAAAATGTGATTATATAAATGAGATATCATTTGATTCGGGATAGTGTGTAGATGGTTTTTAAAAAAAGCAAGAGCCGCTTGTAAAAATGAAAAAGTTATAAACAATTGACTGAAAAAAATGGGGTTTTTTGTAAATATGTCAATAACTAATTGGCATTTTTCAAATTTAAAAAAAGATTCAAAAAGAGGAGGAAACTTTCCAAAAAAAGTTATACCTCCCGGAACTGTAGGACCAATATTCATAATTTTCCCAAAGGATTGAAAATACGTCCCAAAAGGGGTACTTAGATTTGCGCGAGACACGCCAACTTTGGACCTTCAATGAAAAAAATATTATTTCAACTAAAAAATATTAAAATTAATAATTGAAAACATTCAGGCACCTACTGGATAAATGAATGAACAATAATCCACAGTCAATAAATTTTTATGGTAATTTTCCAATTTATTGTGCATTAGGTAATCAACAATTTTTTTTACTTGAAAAGAAAGTGCGGCAATTGTTAAATAACAAATCTGAGATTTTTACATTTTTTGAAGTTATTTTTAAAAGATCTGGGATCAGATTCCTGTTGGAAAAATAAAAAATTGTAATTTTTCAATTCGTTATCAACAATTTACTTATATTAAAAATCAAAAAGATTCATTAATCATTGAAAATATATTTTTTATATCACTATTGATCTGTTTTCTATGATCCGTAGCTACAGAAAAATGT